TACATTTAGCAGCTTTTGACCAGATAAGGCATATTTGTCCTCAGGATATGAACCAATAATTCAATCCTGAATTGAGATCTATGGCCACCCATTTCTTCCAGCCCACACTAGGAGACTCCGTGATAGTCAGAGTTGTTTATGCACTGGGATTAAAAACCCCAAAAAACAGAAGGGAAAAAAACCCCTTATGCACCTCAGGAGTAATAATTTATTAGCAGTGCTGATATTTTAAATAAACTTGTGTAACTCTATGTTTGAATCCTGCAGTGGGCTGGAAATGTAAAAGCCAAACCCGAGGCCTTGGAAGCGGTTTTTGGTGTCAGGAGCCTCCGCGACCTTTTAATTCACTGGGAATTTTTATTTACGTCGCCTGGATGTTTCTCACGGAGCATGGCCGAGCGGGGAGGCTTTTATTACTGTACACATTTAAGTATCTGCTGGCATTTCAGGGCCGTTCCTGCAGCCCAGTACCTCACGTGTTAAAGAACAAACCCACCGTAAATTGCAGCGCAGTCAGTAAAAAGATGCCACAGAAAAAGTGTCCCTGGGAAATTAGATTGACCCAAAGAAAAGCAAATAAAAGAAAGGAAAAGGCCCATATTTTCTTTGCGGTGTTGCTGAAAAGGATGGGAGTATCATTTTCATAGTGGAATAATGTTTTCTGGGAAAACACAAAAGCAGATGTTCCTCATTAGGAACACCCATTGTCTACATATCACAACTATGAACAGATAAATCTCTCCTATTTCACCCATACATTCCAAGGGCTGTAAATGATTACAGGATGCCGCTGGAACTGCTAAACCAAAACCACACTCTGGCCTAGAACCATTCCTCCGTGCCACCAGCAGATATTTCACTGGGGAGGGATGGAAATTCCTGCTCGGAGCCAGACCCTTGGCTTCTGGCTGCCTTGCCGGGGTGTCCCCGAGGCCCGGGGCTCCAGCCGGTGCCGCTGGGTGCCGGCGGCGGGCGGAGGCCGGGCCGGGAGCGCTGGCGGAGCACGGCCAGCGCCTGCTCGGCAGAGGGTTTCCAGATGGCACCATCACGGCCCTACTGCTCGCTGGCATCTCCGTGGGCAGTGAATGCCCCCCTCCCCAGTAAACCTGGCATTATTCTATAGAGTTTAGGAGACTTATCATTCCAAGTGTGTCCTACTTTCCTGTATGGAAGCCAGACATCTGCTTATCCCATTTCTTTCGTACGGAGTTTGGAATAGCTGTAGTTTGGGGGAATAAAAAGTTTTGTCATATTTAACAGCTGTTACAAAATTTCAATCCCGTAGGCTCTTAAAATACCTTTTGCCTGACCTCAGATTTGGGAGATAATTGACATTGCTGGTAGCCACCCCCCTTAACCTTTCCTTGGCTGTAATTTTAGATTATTTTCCCTAAACCACTTGGCTGTTCAAGCTGGTTTTTTTAAATTTCCATAATATACTTATTTATTTATTTATTTATTTATTTATTTATTTATTCATACTGCCGGCTCGCGGGTGCAGCGCTTTAATTCCTCCCTACTCCAAGTTTACACCTTCGGCGGGGTGGTGGCGGCGGCTGGAGGGCGAGGGGGGTTTTTTTTCGTCAGCAGCGTTTCCTTTCACTTCCCGTCACAAAGGTGAGAGCCGCTGACCTTTGCTGGCAGTCCCGGCCGCTGAATTATTCATGTGATTGACTTTTTGTCAGTGCACACAGTTGTGCTCTGGGACATTTTATTCATTTACCTCATTTAAAGCGCCTTTCTGCACCTGTTCAAGTATTAATATCATGTAATTTGGGCCTAATGCCGATTTTGCTGAACACTCATTATATTTTTTATTAGCTATATTTCCAAACGATTATGTATGATTATTACCAAGCCTTACAAACAGCAATGGGTTATTCCCTAGACCTTTACATCTTCTTGTCAGGTTGTTTTCAGAAGCAAGGAGGATAAACATTTGACCAGTCCCAATGTTTTTATTCCTACTCCATATCCAACCAGAGAACTTAAAGCTTTTTCCCTTATGGCTTTGCGAAAGCATGATTAAATCCAACTCTGCAGAAGCTGTACAAATGCCAGCATTTATAAGGTCAACGCTTTTGTTAAAAATGCTATGTAAATGAGGATCTGCAAAAAGGGACATTAAATAAAATTAAATTCATTGTCTTCTTTAATGTCATTTACATTTTGGCTAAGCCCTGGCCTGTCAAGGAGGATTTTTTAAATAATTTTAATTACACATCATTTAGAGATCCAAGGTTTTCTATTCAGTAGCATTTGGATAACCTGCAAAATGGTGACTGTTTATTAACTTCTTAAATGACAACTTGTCATTTCATCTGCATAATGCAATGAAAACAGAGCAGTTTGGTGTCATATTTTTTTTATATGTTCTTATTTTTCTTTAAGATGGGCACCAAACTGCTGGAAGAACAGACCTTAAAATAGCTCAGCTGCTCTTTTGCTTTCAGCGTCCTGTTGGCGCTACCAAGTTCAGAGTATATTAAAAAATTACGAC